TCTTCTGTCTTAACAGGAAAACATTCCATCACTGAAGTTTTTAAGTGTAAATACTAAACTTTCTTGAGTATTTGTAGCTTTTCCAGTTTATCTATGCTCTCCTCTGCATTCTGACTATTGCTGCCTCTCTCCCCTAGGACTGGAGATCCAATCAAGGCTCTGCCCCTTGGCTATAGCCTCACCCAGTACTTCATCCTGTTTTTCCAGGTTATTCTGTTGTCTCGAGGATTTTCAGGGCTAATGCTCCTGTTTAGAGGTCCTATAAATCTCCTGAAATTGTTTTTCTAATTTGGTTTATAATTTCCTTTATCTTAAGAACATGTTTTGTGTGTATATGGTAATGGGTATTGGGTATAGGGCCATTAAACTATTTACCCAACCCTCTAAAAAGTCAAAACAAAACAAAACAAAAAACACATTATTTATTTTGAGACATAGTCTTGATAAGTTACCTGAACTGGCCTGAGCCCACCTTGTAGCCCGGGTAGGCCTTGAACTTGCCATCCTGCTGGAATTAGAGGCCCGAACCACCTGGTCTGCCTGGGTTCTGACTTCTTAAGGGCATCTGCAGTAGGCACTATTTATTTTCCTAAGTATCCGATGAAAGTTTTACATTTGCCTATAACAGGCCAAGGAGATTCAGAGCTTTAAAATCAGCTTTGATAGTCTTCTCTTCAGGACTCTCTCTCTCTCTCTCTCTCTCTCTCTCTCTCTCTCTCTCTCTCTCTCTCTCTCTCTCTCCCCACACCCCTCTCATGAGTAGTATACCTCACACCCATGCAAGGCATAAGGTGTTTGATTTGTGTGGAGACTGCCCTAGTTAGGGATATTAGTGCTGTGATGAAACACCATGATCAAAAACAAAGGTTTATTTGGCTTACACTCTACATTGTAATTAATATTTGGTGGAAATCAGAATAGGGAGTCAAACAGGACAGGAACCTGGAGGCCTGAGCTGATGCACAGGCCATGGAGGCCTACCTTCTAATAGAACCCAGGACTACCAGCCCAGAAATAGCACCTATACAAAGGCGGGACCCTCCCCCATTAAGCACTAATTATGAAAATGTCCTTCAGGTTTGTCTACAGCCCCATCTTTTTTTTTTTTTTTTTTTTTTTTGGTTTTTTGAGACAGGGTTTCTCTGTGGCTTTGGAGGCTGTCCTGGAACTCGCTTGGTAGTCCAGGCTGGTCTCGAACTCACAGAGATCCGCCTGCCTCTGCCTCCCGAGTGCTGGGATTAAAGGCGTGCGCCACCAACGCCCGGCTACAGCCCCATCTTATGGAGGCATTTTCTCAAATGAAGTTCTCTCCTCTCAGATGACTTTAGCTTGTATCAAGTCCATGTAAACTCAGCACCTAGACAATCTTTCTAAGGGTTTGTCTTAGTTTTATTTTGAAACCAGGTCCTGTTGTGTATCCTCCCTATGTGATCCAGGATGGGCTTGAACTCATGATCATCTATCTCTGACTCTTGGGGATTGTAGGCATATACCACTGTTTTGTTTTGTTTTTTATTAGTCGAGAGCCCAGACAAACCACACACTTCCTTTCTTATCCAACACCAATGGGAAGAAGATTTTTCTTTTCTTACATTACCTAAAGAGCCTCCCCAGCATTCCGGCCTTGGGCAAACATCTTAAGTCTAAATTTCTGTCATTCTGTAATTCAAGACATGTATGGGCTCCAACCATCTACCCCTTCTCTAGGGGGTGTCCAACCCAGGCAAGGATTCTGGGAAGGATTGCCTTTCTTGACACCTGAATACCGAACACTTAATTAGGAGTGTGTGTGTGTGTGTGTGTGTGTGTGTGTGTAGACAGATACACACACACACACACACACAGAGAGAGAGAGAGAGAGAGAGAGAGAGAGAAGCATGAATAAATAAAAGACAAATATTGGGGGTTCAAACTTCAAACTAAAAATCAGAAAAACCAAGTAACCGTCCACTACCTCAGGCTGAAAGGCTGATCTACAAGCTCTTCACCAAGCCTCAAACTACTGATTGATTCAATCTCATGTAGACCAGAACTCACAGAGATCTGTCTACCTCTTAATACTGAGTCCTAGGATTAAAGGTGCGTACTACCACCTCCTAGCTTCTGGCTGCTGTGATTAAATGTGTGTGCCTGGCTTCTATGGCTTGTGGTTGACTTTGCTTTCTGAATCCTCAGGCAAGCTTTAATAAAGCATAAATTAAATAATATAATCACCACACACACACAGAGAGAGAGAGAGGGAGAGAGAGAGAGGGAAAGAGAGAGAGAGAGAGAGAGACAGAGAGAGAGAGAGAGACAGAGAGACAGAGAGAGAGAGACCGGGTAGGAGTGAGGGTGTGTATGAGTGTGCATGTCAGGAATTCAGTGTGGCACATGAGTGAGTTACACGCTTGATAACATGAAAAGAGACCTGCTCATGAAGGACTTGTATGTCAAGCTAGGACGATGGACCTTTTGGTCCTGAGAACGACAGAAGAACATTAAAGGCAGCATTGGGGTGAAATCACCAGGTTCAAAAGGCAAAAAATATAATAAATGATCGTTATATTAATAAGTGTATGCAGCTTGCCAGAAAGTGCTGAAATAGACTTTGCCGGCAGATGACAATCCCAGAGTGCATTGGAGCACTAACCTTGACATTCCAAACATAACACTGAACCAGCCCAAGGACTGACTGCCTTCAGTGCAGGCCCCCACGTCCCAGACTCTTCCCCCACCTGTTCTGGGTGTCCTGTCCATCGAACCTGGAGACGGTTGGGAAACGCACTGCTCTTTTGATAATTCCCAAAGTTCCTCTCCCTTCCCTGGCCCCCAGCTCTGCAGCAAGGATCCCCCGCCTCAGGAAGGGTTCTGAGCAGAAGTCCTCTAAAGATTGAACATAAAAGTGCCCTGGGCCAAGGGACAGAGGGTCTATTTTTAGACCTTTTTCCTCAGCGTCTGTTTATCGTGCAGACGGCCTGTGCGTTCTAGAAGAGTGTTAAAAAGCCACCAGGCTGGATGGAGAAAGAAAGCAAGATGCTTTAAGACCAAAAGCCAGTGGTAAAGTCATAAGACACCCACTTCCCTCGCTTTCCCTGGGTGCTCCTGAAACGAATTAAAAATTTACTCCAGCCCTTTCCAACCACGCCCACACGGTGTGGGAATGTGCTGTTCACAAAGGAAGGGTTGGCGATAGACTGTTAAACTTTTGTCTAGAGTACGCTCTGCTACAACGCTCTGCACGGTCTCTTCCTGCTCTAAAAGCCATACTACATGTGACTTGACAATGGAAAGGAGAGCGCCCCCTACAGCATTCGGTCATCTTGTGCCTGGTTACTCCGGCGGAGACACCATGTGTTCATTAACCATAAAACGAACTGCTTAATCCAGGCCGGCCAGTGTCTTCTCGATTTATGTTTTCCTCGAGGGACATAAAATAGGTGGCCTCGGGAATCCCTCCGCTTGTAAAACGCGCCACAGAAATGCGGGTTGACTTGCAGTGACTTAACCCTTTGCAGTCTGCGGCCTAGACCGCCTTTTAAGGGCGTCCTTCCCGGTTCCCCCGACTGCCTTCCCTAGCCCTCTCCGGCCACCAGATCCTTCGCGCCAGGTCGCTGTCCAATTCCGCTGTCCTCTCTGGAGCATCGGGGAGACCAAGAGGAGGATCTCCGAGGCGGACCCACAGTCCCTCGGCGGCAACCGCGCAGTCGTCCTTAAGGACCTCCGACAGGAGCCAGCAGAGGCGGGTGTTTTGTTCTTATAAGGAGCAAAAAGTTTCCGTGACAACGCGGAAATGAGTAGCTCTGCTGCCCAGTAGCGCTGGGCGGGAGGAGTCCAGGAGGCCGGAGTCTCCGCGCTCTGGTCTCCCGCGTCCCAGGATCCCAGGATCCCGGCAAGCCTGCTGCTGTCCCGGGACCCCGGCGCGCGCGGAGCCAGGCCCACTCTGTCCCCCGGCGGCTGTCGCGACCGAACGTGAGTGCGGGGCTTAAATGTGAGGTTTTGCTGCTCCCCAAGCTCAGTGTGTGGGATGAAGGGTGCGCAGGGGACTGGGGACTCCGGCGTGTTGAGATCGTGGCCAGGAGCGCGGATTGCGAATACCGGGACCCTGGCCGGGACCGGCGCTAGGAACTCCTTTAATGCACGCATGCGAAGTGGGCATTGTCTGCCTCATCACTCTTCGCGGGTGATGCGCTGTGGTCTCTCGGCCCCGGCGCCCCGGAACCCCTCGAGTGTTCCAGCAATCTGGGAAGCTAGCAGCTTCTGCTCCCCCGGCCGCAGGCTTCGGAGCCCACAGCGGGGCCACGTGTTTGCACCTAGAGCTGGACCTTGCGTCTCCTAAACCGGGCTGGGTAGCCGAGCCTCAGTTCTGGAAGAAAGGAATGGGAGTGACGTTTGTTTCTGGTAGCTAGCCTTGACGCAAGGAGGTTGCTTCAAGCCGGATGAAGCCCCTGCCACTTCCTCTTTCGGGACTCCTAGTGGAGTAGACCCTCCGCTCTGCCAAACTTTCTCCTGGTCTCCAAATAGTCTCTGCCTTTGGTTCCCAGTCCCATCCTCGAAGTGTTCTCTGAGTTTCCCTCGTTCGGGCCGCCAGGTAAATGGACTTAGAAGCCCCTGGCCGGTTCTCCACACAAAATGAGAAAATACTGACAGAACGAGGGAGCACCTCGTTTAGCCTTTTACCCCACCGCCTAGAGTGAGAATGGTCACCCTTTCCAAACCAGAAAGGACCGGAAACTGGTACCATATCAATCAATGTTGGGTGGCTGTCGTCTTTCGGGTTTCTTCTCTTTACAATCGAGTTCTGCTTTGGAGAGGCTGCCGGCTAAAGCCAACACAGCTGCTGTGGTCGTTGGTCCAGGTCCGCAGTGAAAAGTGGCAGAGGCCGCTGTCATTCACCTCCGGGTGCCTGCCTGGCAGCCTGCTACGCCTAAGTGGCCCTGTTATTTGCTGATTCCCTGGGAATCGCTGCTGCTCCAGGCCATACTGCCTTCAGATTTTCCACTTGTGGGTAACTGTGGTTATACCCACTCTCTGGATGGGTCCCTGGGGAAGATGGAAAAACATTTGCTCACACACTGCCCTGTCAGTGAGTAATTTTCAGAGACGCAGCAGTTTTGGATTCTGGTTTTAAGGAGGTAAAGATCTGAACTTTTAACCTGATGCCATCACCCCAAGAGTTGTTAGCTCTCCGGACCATGGGCAAAACATAAAGGGTGTGTGGGTGAGCTTTTTAATCAGAGGGCAAGAAGGTGCGGCAGCTTCTGGCAGGTAATTACCCACTGTCTAGAAGAAGCCTGGTTTTATAGTTTTCCCTTTTTGGACCCTCTGGGGTTAGTGTACAAAGGGATCCTGTTTGATAAAAGCATGCATTGTCTCCATGGAGACAGTGGTATGCAACTGGTATTCCGCAGCCTACAAGAGCAAGGTTGAACCAGCGGAGTACACTAGTCAAAGCCACTGCTTGGAGGCACACCGCTGGCAAACCAGACCTTGTCCAGAGGAGAGGGGCGAAGACAATGTGGACAGTGGAGAAAGTGTATCTGATGGGGAAAAAGGATTACACCATGTGTGACCCAGGCATGGGAAGCATAGGGGCATGGCTGCGACTGTCAGGCATTCCAGGCATTGAAACTTGATAAAAAGAAAATGGCTTGCTCAGTCTGGCTTCAGATCCCCTGGTTAGGACAGAGATGGGCCTCAACAGAGCCCAGCCATCGGCCCTCGACAGGCAGTGTGCTGGCCGTCAGTGCGAGCAGAGGTTATGAAGGGAGCGGCGGCGCCTTCTGGTGCATGCCTCTGGGTTTCCATGTGTGGAGGTGAGAGGTACCTCCAGTAAGCATCTGAAGGTGGTAGCCTGTGAGGCTGTAGTAGAGCACTATACCAAGCCAGGGCCAGGTTTTTCAAAAATTGAAATGTCATTCATGCCTGATGTTGGGTCATCTTGGATGCCCTTATCCAGTCTTAAAGGAACGGTGAGGATTCGGAGAGCTGATGGTAACCCTCCAAAGCCACCACTGCCAACCCAGCCCTTTGTATGGGTTAGAGTACAGTCCTCATTCTTAGCAAGATGATGCTACATGGTGCCATTTAACACAAGGGTCTCATAGCTGAGCGCTGAGAGTCCTCCTCGCTCCCCCAGCCTGCTTCTCTCGAACAATATATTAACTGGACAATCATTGGCAGTAGCCAGTTATTACGAGTTTAACATGGGCTGGAGAGATGACTCAGAGGTTAAGAGCTGCTCTTCCAGAGGTCCTTGGTTCAATTCCACTGCTCCCACATGATGGCTCACAACTATCTGGTAAGTCCGGTTCCAGGGACCAGACACCCCTTTCTGGCATCCAAGGATGTCAGGCGTGCAAGCAGTGCACAGACAAACACACAAGCAAAACACCCATACATAAAATAAAAATAAAAAAAAAAAAAAGGAGATGGCGGACTCATCCAGCCCGGAAGGGAGGAAGGAAGGAGCCGAGCCCAGCCTGGATGGCCGATGCGAGGCTTGGCCAAGCATCAAATGGCCTTCTGATTACCCAGCCATGTGAGGTGGCAGATCCAGTTTGCACCCTGAAGTGACGGGGGTGAGTGAGTGCCCCCCAGGTGTGATGCAGAAGGAAGAAGTGACAGCTCCACAAAAGGCGGGGCTTCCCGAGAAGTGAGGGCGGGGAGAGAGGTCAAGCGTGCGGACTTGCTCCTCCAGACCCTCTGTGCCCTCTTCCTGCTGCCATCCAGCCCTATGTGTCCCAAGGCGTCCCTCCCAAAACCACGGAGGAAACTCTCGCACTCCTCTCTCGACTCCAGCCCAAGGATGGCTTAGCTGCTACACCACCTGTCTCGCACCTAATTAATTAATTAATTGGGGACAAGTGCAGACGGATTGCCTGTTTACCTGTGTGGCTCACATCACAGGCCTTGGCTCCTTACAGCTATGCCCACTAAGAAACCTACGTGTGCTGTAGAAGGCGCCTCCTGGCAGGATTTCACCCTTTATGTTTTCATAATGCAGCATGTTTTTTTTTTCATTGCATTTACTTATTTGTTTAGCGCTCTGTAAGCGCTAACCCTCAGTTACATGTATTTGCACGAGGCAAACATTATACAGTCTCAGGGTTTCGGGTCTGTGTGGTCTGCTACGAGCAAATCAGTAGGATATTCAGGTGGCCTGGGCGAGTCACTAGAAGCCAAGCACAGGAAAAAGAAACATGGTTGTTAGTTGGCACTAAGGCCCCGGGGAGTGGGAGAGTACAGGTGGCCTCTTAGAAACCCTGCTTGAGCCTGGAAGTGAGGCCTACCAAGGGCAGTGTCTGCTTTGACTGCCACAAGCCACCTGCCCCGCCCAGCTGGCCTCTGTCCCTGTTCTCTGTCTGGGACCACTCTGGGCTCATGATTAGTGAACCATGTCTCCAGGTCCTCCACAATCAAGACGTGGCCTGCGTGTGCTTTGGACTGCATAGGGCTGGGTTGAGTCCACTGTTCTATCATTGGTGTTCTCAATGGTTGGGCAGGTACCTTGTCTATTCCAAATCTTAGTGTCATCTGAAAAATCAGGATAAGCCATCACAGGGAAGAGGTGGGTAAAAACCACTTAGCACAGTGCCTGGCCCATGCCACAGCTTCCTCCCAAGTCCTATGAGGTCTTGTCCACTGGGATCTAGATTGTCCCACCCATCGGGGCAGAAGAAGAGATTCCTTGTCTCCCCAAGCTGAGGACAAAGCTGACCTTCTGGCCCAAGCCAGTTTCAAACTTGTCCTGCAGCAAGTGCCCAGACAGGAGAGCAGGGTGAGGCCTCTAGACAAAAAAAAGTCTCTTGAGAGACCCTCTTCAATGTTTTGGGTGGTTTAGGACCCCACAGAGACTATACCCCCGATGCCCATGTGCCCCACCCAGTGACATCACTGGAATGGAAGCACCTCAGATGGCATCACCGTTGCCCAGGCAACACCTCCACCTTACGGCAGACAGGAAGGACACAAACCACCCTCAACTGTAAGACACATGTTGCAAGACAGGGACCCAGAAGATATAGCTGCCACAGGTGTGTTTCTCAGAGGCTGTAGAGAGGGTGGGCCATGTGTTGGAGCTGAGTGTGTGCTCTGGACTGTTGAACTAGTTGGTGGGGGGGGGGTTCTTGAGGCCTCAGGTGTGTGTCCCAAGGGAAGGTGTATCGCCGACTGCTGTCCTCTCTTTCTTCTCTGAGCCAGACTGACTCCATACAGGAGCTTCTGCTCCCACAGCTCGAATGTCCAAGGAGGGGTGTGGGATACTGGTGCAGGGACAAACAGTATCAGGAAAGTGGCTTTCCTGTGTGTCCTCACCCCGTGTCCTTACTACAAGGGTTCTTCACTGATTAAGCAAATATGACAAGCATGACACTGTCAGGGACTCAGTAGTCTCAGGGAGTTTTATAACCCAAGGCAGGGAAGGCAAAGAATGTGTGGAAGCTGCCCTCCAAGAGGTAGGCAGCTACTTATCTATCACCCAGCTCTCGAAGGCCCTGCGGGATTCTTCAAGCGCTAAATTAATCCTGCAGAGTCCCTTTATCTTCAGGAGCTTGTACTGGTATTTTGGAGATACTTGGTAGTTTGGGAGCGGCAGTAGAGAGGACAGCCATGGTACCCAGGGACACACTGAAGACAGCGCTGTGAGCTGGGCTGAACTCCTGGCAATTCTGACTCTCTTAATTGCTGGCCTGTGGCTTCAGCCTTGACTTCTAAGGTGACGCCTGCTGCTGTCCTTCAGACAGAATTCCTGAGCAAGGGCTGTCACGAGCAAACGCTACCAGTGAAAGATGCAGGCACAAGAGAACTGCCCTCCCGGAGAGGAGTGGAAAACCAGATGACATGTCAGGTCTGCTCTACAAAGCTTCAGAACCCAAGGCCTTTCAACTTCAAAGGGCCTGAGTCAAGTCTGAGTGGCGCAACTAGACGTGACTTCAGGTGCTTCTCTGGTGTCCAGGCCCCAAGTTTTATATGAATGTAGCCAATTTTCACTTCAGTGAAGATTAAAGTATTCTTGGTTGGGTAGACAATTTGCAAGCTCATGCTTCCACTTGGAAAACTGGTCCCCTCCCCCAACAACAACAACAAAACAAAACAAAACAAAAAAACACGTCTCAAGACCATTTGTTCCTACAAACAGAAAGATCTTCATAGAGAACAGCAGCCTCATGCACTGGACATCTGCTCCCAGCAAAGCTTGCCTGTGACCCTTTGCATACATTGTCTCTCTTGCTCTCAGCAGCCTCTCAAGGTGCACACATTCCCGTGATCTAGATCAAGGAACAAGCTCAGACTTGCCCAGTGTCCCTGAGACACGATTCCAACTTAGATCTCCTATCTCCCAGGTGTTTCTTCCCGCCACCTCAGGCATTTCTGCCTGGACTCCACAGCCCAAAGACTAAGAAAATAGCATACAGAACCCCACAGCTTGAGTATCAAAAGTGAGAAGCTGCCAGGTAGATCACCAGTTCCGGGCCTAAGCCACCAATCCCTCTCCACTCTGTGATATTAGCAGAACGGGACTGTCCTCTTGTCCACGTAACATGTAGTAAGATGCTCACATGGGAGTCCCAGGGGAAACACAGAGTCCGTGCTCACCAAGTGACTCACTTCCCATGACTGAGCACTCAAGGTTTACCCAGGAAGAGAACAAAGCTGTCCTCAGCTGACACTATGGATGCCCAAAGTGGGTGCAGAGAGTGCCCCACCAGCAGCATCCAACCTGGAGGGATGCTGTCAACATCTTGGTCCTGCCTGTCGGGAAGGCCATGAGCTCATAGCACAGTTCCCACGGAGCCTGTTTCAATAGCCCTCTTCTGTAGAGGAGACTGGGGAGTCACCTGATGTTCATGAATGCGTCTTTTGTTTGCTGAGACTTGGTTCTGAATCTCTGAGGAGGCAGGAGAGCACCCTGGGCTGGAAGGGAGGAAGCAGGGGATGCCCAGGCCCCATCCCTACGTCCTGTTCCCCAATACCCTTGAGTTTACCCATCACTGTTTCTTCCGTATGTTTTACCCCAACACATACAACCCCTGTCCCCTGAGAGGAGGCTTGCCCAGGTCACACGGCCTCTTGTGAGTCTGTACAGTGTCTCAGTGTCCATATATAAAAGGAGAGTTCAGAGGCACATGCGTGTCTCATGTCCTGCAGATATGGCATGAGCAGCAGTTTCATGAGCTACTTTCAAGCCACCTTTGGTGTGTTGGGTGAGTGACCTTCCTCCTCTGTGCCTCAGTTTCCTTGTCTGGATATGAGTGCCTGCCTGAGAGGTTTAACCTGTACACAAAAAGTACACCGACAGAGCTAAGCATCAAACACTGTGTATCGGCTACGATGGCCCAAATGTGCGTCATCCCCAGACGCTTGTCCAGCTCTCCAGAAAGGACACTTGCTCGCTTTGCCTTACCACATTTTTTATCGAACCCTAATCCCCCATTTCTCTTCTGTTTCTACAAGTCTCTCTTGAAAGAAGTAAGGAAGCACAGTTCTTATAAAGCTTTCTGCAGGCCTCATACATGGTTCTTTCTTTGTGAACACTGGCCTGAAGTTCAGGCTTGTCAAGACCAAGAAGAACTAGAGTTGCTCCAGGGTTACATCTTCAAGGAGCTGGAGTCGCATTTGTTGGCGCTTGGCACACATGACTGTTAGCTTGGCTTTTCTGAGGGCAGGGTCTCTCCCAGAAAGACTGTCTAGATGTGAATTCAACCAGGGCTCCACACGCCACTCTAGGAACTTCCTGTGTCTGCTCCTGGGAATAAGACTCCATTCATTCCCTTATTCATACATTTCTTCAGCAAGAAATCCTAGCAGAGCTGCCCTCATGCTGCTCAGAAACTCTTTGGCACTGCTGGCCCACTGGAATGGAGGTGGGGGGGGAGGCAGCTGCTGTTGAGCCTCCTAGACCACCAGACATTCTCTTCTTCTGTGGCCTTTAGAAGATGATAAGGAGGTAGAGGAGATAAGTTAGTGTCCACAGGGTTCTGAGGAACCTGCAGGGATGTCATTCAGTGTCTTCTTCCCAAAGAAACAGTGCAAACCCAACGACAATGTCATTTCCAAAGCGCAGCACTGAACATGATGTCGTAATGCCTCACCAGTGGGGTGCAGTGCCTCACCAGGGGGCTGTAAGCTGTGGGGTGGCACACGGCAGAGCCAGAGCTCAACCCGTCCTTCTGATCACACAGTCTGACCCCTTTATGGTACTCCAAGCTTCTCCAAACTCAAAACTCTTCCTAGCCGAAAAGCCTTGGACTGTTTCTGGGTGGCCTTGGGGTGGGGGAGGGGCAGAAGTTTGTGCAAGGGAACTTATAGGTGCTGATGGATGGGCCATGGTCCTGTGTTCATCTGGACATGTACGACATGCCAGGCACAGCCTGGGTACAACGTGTGTTGTTCCACACGGCCGCTTGGTCCCTGTGACTGGAAATAGAGTGGTGGTGGTGGTGGTAGGTTGTCATTGCTGTTGTGGTCCGGGGAAAACTCACAAGAAATGTTACTGTGCCATCGCAGATAATTCAGGGAGTGACTTCCGTGGCTGTACAAAGCTGGACAGTTCAGGCCCTCTGTGTCCCAGAGAGACAGCGTTAGCCGTGACCAACAGGTGTGGGAAGGCAGACAGGCAGCCATTCTGTTGTTCAGCCTGAATCCCAGCACGGAAACCTGAGGTTCAGCACAGGCAGAAGCTGACCACAGCTCTTAGCTTTTTACAGCTGGCTTGGCCTCTCTCCTCTCTGTTCCCCTTTAAGAAGATGAAAGCCTTTTGAGATCTTTGCAGGCACAGACTCTCTCTGTCTCTCCCTTCCTCCCTCCTTCCCTCCCTCTCTCCCCCACCTCTGAGAGAGAGAGAGAGAGACAGAGAGAGAGAGAGAGAGAGAGAGAGAGAGACAGAGAGAGAGACAGAGAGAGAGACAGAGAGAGAGAGTGTGTGTACATGAGAGCTTCCTTTCTCTCCACCCCTCTCTAGACTCTCCTCCAGTTGGGGCTAGACACTACTTTCAGGTACTTCCTGAGGCTAAGGAGGATGAGCTAGGGAAGCCTATAGTAGGGGAGCTGGCCTTTCTTCTGCTGCAGAGATGGGTGGGGGTGGGGGCATCCTCCTCTATGTTTTAGGCGCAGGAGAATTCAGACAGGCTGTCTTCTGAGCTGACTTTGTTCCCAGGCAAGGATCAAAAAGAAAGTGGCCGCTGGGCACTGACAGCTCCTTCAATTCCACCACCCCCAGCGTCTTTGGAAGGGGCGGGTGGGAGGTGGGGCAGCGGGGAGGGAGGGGCCTGGGAGGGCTTTGGTTTTCCTTTGTGTTTATTCCTTGGTTCTGCTCAAGCCTTCTTTCTCTTTGTCTGAGTCCAGCAGCTGACTCTGCTGTGCTGGGGGATCCGGCTTCCCCCACCCCGCAGCCTGCTCTGCCTGCTCCACCAAGGAGGGAACCTTGGAAGGCTCTGTGTGTGCAGAGCTCAAGGTGGAGAGACAGGAAGCGTACAAGGGGCAGCCCTGGTATGCCCTGTCCAGAGGGAAGTGTGTGAGTGTGTGTGTGTGTGTGTGTGTGTGTGTGTGTGTGTGTGTGTGTGTGTGCGCGCGCGCGCATGTGTGATTCTACTCTAGGGAGGACTAGCCTGAGCCACCAACCCTGTACAAGTCTGGGAAGTGGTTAACAGAATCACAGTGCCTGTTTCAGTTTTATAAATTTGTATGGGAACCCTGGGGGCGGGTGGGGGGTGTGGGCGGGGAGGGGAGGGGGAGGGTTCTAGAGAGGTTCTTCTGGCCAGCGCAGTACAATCTAGGAAACTTGTGGAGAGAACAGTTAGTGAGAGAGGATAGTCAACAGTTTGTGGAGGTTTGCCTCAGAATGTGGTGTGCCCAGCGTAGGCTGTGAGTCCCTGACACTGTGAGCATGTCGGTGTCAGGTACTCTAGGGACCGTGAATGCAGAGAAGACACCCCTCTCCCGGCCCTGGAGAAGCCTGCACTTAAGAGATGCAGCTGTGCACAGAAGGTGTGGGCCTGGAGCTTTAGCAGTTGAATGGCCTCAGGCTGTTCAACTC